CGCTGGTTGTACTTGGTCCATCGGTTCGATGGTTGGTCTTTCCATCGATGCTCTGGTTAGTCTTTCTATCGATCCAGACTTAGTCTTTTCTGCCTTGATCTCTTCATCGGTCTTCTGGTTCTTCATCACTTATTGTTTTTCATTACTTTTTACATTTTGCATAATGGAGTTTAACACAATATTTACAACTATAGTATTTTCAAATTCAATACAAATTTTACAAGATTGTTTTCGGAAAGATAAGATAATAAAAACCTATCTAAACAATCTTTGGTTACACACAAAGCTTTAGCAAATACAAGAAAAGAAGTTGCTATAAGAAAGATCCTTTACTTAAGCTAGAAAATGCTTAAAGTAAGAATTAGGTTAGAGAGAGAGATGTGCGCTCTCTGCATGGAGAAGAAACACTTCTATTTATACCCAGTGTATTAAATGTTCATTTAATGCAATAAGGTAGGGTTAGAGAGCGTGTCAAGCCTTAACTGGAAGACTTGTCCTTTGCCGTAGTGAATAGTACAAAAGCACTATTTATGAGCAGACATCCTTACCTAAAGTTGGTGGACAAAGAGTCGACTAATCGGCTCCATATCGTACTAACTTTCGTAGGGGAATGGGTTTTGTTCTTTGTGTGCATAAGGACAAGACAACAACAATCGTGCTAAGAAAATTTCCTTTGATCGCTGAATGATGGAATGACCTGAAGGTCTCATCATCATTCGCTGAAGTTTAAGCAGTCTTCACACATATGTAGACAGACTTGTAATCACTGAATACCTCTTCAGATCACGTACTCGTCAGTCTCTAATCTTCAGTTTCAGTCTTCGACGGTTGCTGAAGGTTCTTTGGTGTGAGTGTTGTCTTCTTGAAGTATTGTGGTCTCTGATAGATTTACAATGCAACTTCTTCAGCGATCACTGAACAGACTCGGTGAAGATCGTTGGAACTGAAAATACAGAAACATAAATACAACGTATAAGTGAAAAGGGATTATCATCAAATCACTGAGAGAGAGGATCAACAAAGGGCCTCTGCACTTTTTGGAGTAGCTCCCCATTTTGCCGCATCTGAAGCATCGAACACCTTGCTTCTTATGGTCCTATGACTCTTCCTCCTTTTTGTTTAAAACAGAGGGAGGGTTCCTTCCTTCAAAATCTCTGCCTTGACTGCGATCATTCTGCCTTCCTCGCTTATTGAAGACGTTCTTCCCAAAATTTCTTTGGAATTCCTTGGTGATCAGGGCCAAGGATTGTGCAAAAGCACTAATATTGTCATCTTCAGAGCTAGATGCTCTGTCTTCTTCACCACTCTCCATGATGAGAGCCTTCTTTTCTTTCCTTCTTCTTCTTTGGATCTACGCTCTCTGTATGGCTGGCTAGATCCTGTCTCTTTTGAATCAGAGACAAGAGCCAGAGGTTCACACAAAGCAACCTTGGCTTTCTGTGCTTCTTGTTCTTGAGCTTGCAGAGTCCCATACACGTCGTTCAACGTCCATTGCTCCAGATCTTGATTCGCCTGGAGAGACATTTTCAGGTTTCCTCATTCTGCATTCAACCTTTTCAAGAAGAGCATGTTGTTCTCCTCTTGACTTTTGATCACGTCACATTTGCGACACTTATTGATCAGAGTATTGAACCAGTGATAAGTCTGTTCTAAAAACTCATCGGGAAGCGCCTGGAAACTGTTGTACTCGTTCAAGCATTGAGCACGATGATTTTTCTTCATCTTTATCCCTCCTTCCAACTGATTTTCCAGTTGATCCCATAGATCCTTGGCAGAGTTGCACGCTTTAAGAGATTGAAATATCTCATTGGGAAGTGCCATGATCAAAAGCCTTTTGGCTTTTTGATCCACCTCCACTTTGCGTTTGTCTTTATCATTCCAATCACAACAAAATTTGGGTACTCTCCTAGCAGGTACTTCAACCGTATCACCAGCAGCAGGAATACGAGGAATAATCATGGTAGGGACATATGGGCCGTTTAGAATTGACTCGTAAAGTTCGAGGTCAAGACCCTCATAAAAATTTATCATCCGAGTTTTTCATTGGGGATATTCTTCCCAAATAAGAGTCAGAGGTTTTGTCAAGGAACCGGCACTATACATGGAGTTCCATAATTGAGACGACAATTTTGATTAACAATTGAGAAGAAAATTGACGAGAAAGTGATGAATGACGTTAAAAACGATTTCCAGATTACATAAAAGCAAACGTTTTAAAAGAAGTAAAATTTGGAGTGAAAATCCTTTTTAAAACGAATAATCAAAAATAAGAGTAGAATCCAGATGGATATCGATCGATTAATCAATGAGTTTGATTAGTAGGCTCTGATACCAATTGCTGGAACCCATATACTCGTATTTGTAGAAAACACAGTTTATAAATAATAAGAGTGAAAATCAAACAGTGTATCAAAGACGATTAATCGAAATATTCAAAGTATATATAAGAACAATGAAAGGACTTGAATATGTCGAATGCTTTTATTAGATGAAAGTAAAAGAATAATCAATCTAAAAGTATTCTCACAATAAACAGGTATAGTATGAGTTGGCACTCTCTGGTAATTTGAACCTGAAGAGGAAGCCTCCTTATATACGCCTAGGTATAACAACTATGCTATAAATCGGGTTTGAAACTCTGAGTTGATGAGTCTGCATCCTTATCTTTGTCTTCCCTTGAAAAGCGAAGCAGACTTGGTCAAGCCGCCTCAAATCCGTTAGACGCTTGCGAGAATGTCTAGGCTTGCACGCACGTTCCATGGAGAAAGTGACCAGAAGCTCTACTTGTACTATACAGAAGCTCTGCATGTACTATGCAGAGGTTCTGCATATGCAGAGGCTCTATGTCTTGGAGTTGTTGCTTGGTATCAAGCGCTTATGCTTTTTTGGCGCATAAGACTTGATCGTCCACAGAGATAGAGCGTGGGCTCTGTATGAATGGAACCTTCACTTTTTGAGTAAGAGCTCTGGTTCTTAATCTTTTGCATGAGAGCTCTTAGTCCAGACCGCTTCAATAGACTAAGCCTATTGATTAGAGTAAGAGACTCTTACTTACACTTTCACAAGTTGGGGTCTAACACACTATCTTCCTGATCATAGGAGAAGCCTAACCAATCATTATCTTTGCAGGGATCTGAGCGTTAATGATCTCAGAGGCTTTGACAGAGGCTTTGCACCATCCTTCAATGGTAGGCTTTTCAGTCTTGAGTTCTGCAATTGCTTGCTCACGCTCAACGATAGCTTGTTCACATTCAATAGTGATGGTTTGGTTTACAATAACCTAATCTTTAAGATCTTCTTCGATCTTTGATCTTGGAATGACAAATCTTCAAATGTTCTTGAAGATCAATATTAAGCATTTCTGCTTTAGATTTGCCATTCAGGGCATTGTAAAGGTCAACCATCAACGTATCTAATGTTGATAGGCTAGAAGAGGAAGAAGAGGGTTCATTCAGGAGACATATCCGAGCAGGAGAGGATGATGAGGGATCATGGGAAGTTGGCATCTCAGAAGTTTTTTCCTTGACATCCTTGGCCATTAAGCAAAGATAGGTTGTGTCTTCCTCATCAGATGATGATTCATCAGATGAATCAGCCTAGTCATATTCTTCAGCGACAAGACCTTTATCCTTTCGCTTGGAACTCTTTATTTTCTTATACTTTTCCTTCAGCTCCTGGTATATATCATCTTTAGCTCTGAAGGAGGAAGGGGATTTCGAAGATGGCACTGCAGCCTTCTTTGACCTGCATTCACCTGCAAAGTGACATTTACCGTGACAATGGTAGTAGACAGCTGAAGCCTTGTCAACAGTATATGACTTTGGCTTTTCCTTAATGGTCAGCGTGGGAGATCTGCGAAAATTAATTTTCCTGGCGAATCTTCTAAAAGGCTTAGTTAAAAGCGCCAGTGATTCATCAAAGTCTGCAAGGTCAGACTCTGACATATCCTCAGAGTTAGTAGAGTCTAAATCAGTGATAGTAGCAGGAGGAAGAACTGAAGAAGATGGGAGTTTAACTGAAGAATCTTCAGAGATTGAAGCTAACAAAGAGCTTTTCATGTCTCTAGAATCCTTGATCAGATTCCTCTTCAGTTGTCGAGACTGCTCATGATTAAGTAGTATCCCATATAAGGTGCTAAGAGAGAGAGAGAGGACATGTTGTTGGACATCTTGAGACACATAGAATATGTATCCCAAGATTATGGTAAACATTCCAGAAATTTTGTTTAAGTTTCAAAGTTGGAATATTCTCTGCCAACTGCCCTTAAATCAATAAGAAGACAATTAAATCTTTGATGTACTTCAGACAACGTCTTAGTCTTTCCACAGAGAAAGCTTTCATATTGTCTTACTAAGTTTACCATCCTCGATTCTTGTACCTGAGAGGTACCTTCATATTGAACACAGAGAGTGTCCCACATGGATTTTGAGGTTCTAAGCTTCATCACAGAGTGACAGACATTGTCAGGAAAAGTCATAGCTATTATAGATCTCGCACGAGTATCTATAGTTATCTTCTTCATGTCTTCGTCACTCATTGATGAAGGAGCTTAGGAATCTACCGTTCAGGAATCGCGACAGTCGTAGCCCTTTTAGGAATAGCTGGAGATATAGCATATGGAACATATGATCCATTTTCAATATAGTGTGGAATTTGAGGATCCACATCTTCCAGAAAGAGGGACATCCAATTCTTCCAAAGACTAAAGTTGTCTCTGATAAACCAGGGAGGTTTGGTAAGAGAACAATTGTCGTGAAAGTTTGTGTTTGTGTTTTGCAAAGCTATTTGAAAGCAGTAAATTATCTAAGAGAAAGATAGATAATAAAATGCAGAAAAGACAACTAAACAAGAAGAGAAGAAAACACTGCTCTAATACCATTTGTTGGTCCCGGTTGGGTCTACAAGAGTTTTATAGAAATAGTTTGTAGAAAGGGGGGGGGGATGAATACAAACACAAAGAACTTTCAAATTTAAAAATATATATTGATAAAGAAAGATCAATACAGATATTTACAAGATTGTACGTGGAAATAGACAAGGTAAAGATAACCTATCCAAAACAATCTAAGTTTACACACAGTTATTCTTAGCAAAGAGAAAAGATTTGCTGAAATATAAAGAAGGAAATAAGTTCTTCTTGGTTAAGAACTTTTAGAATACTTAAGAGGGATTCTAACTTGCTTGAAGATAAGTGTAAGTGTTCTTAGATGTGTGTGTGTGTGATCTCTTGTGTGTATGCACGTAAGAATTCGTGGTCTGCTTGGAGAGAACACTCATCTATTTATACCCATTGCATTAAATGCACATTTAATGCAATGCAATAAGGTTTGAACATGTGTCAAGCTTTTATAGAAAATCTTGTCATTTGCTACAGTGTTAGACCGCATCTTGTGAAAGTGTAAATAAAAAGTCTCTTACTCTAGTCAATAGGACTTAGTCTATTGAAGCGGTCTGGACTAAGAGCTCTCATGCAGAAGAGATTAAGAACCAGAGCTCTTACTCAAAAAATGAAGGTTCCCTACATACAGAGCCTGCGCTCAATCTCCGTGGACGATCAAGCCTTATGCCCCCAAAAGCATAAGCGCTTGATGCAAAGCTACAACTCTAGACACAGAGCCTCTGCATATGCAGAACTTCTGCATAGTACATGCAGAGCTTCTGTATAGCACATGCAGAGCTTCTGGTCTCCTTCTCCATGGAACGCGCGTGCAAGTCCAGACATTCTCGCAAGCGTCAAACAAAATCAAGCGGCTTGACTTAGTCCGCTCCACTTTTTAAGGGAAGTCAAAGATAAAGATGCGCACTCGGCAACTCAGAGATTCTAACCATGAGCCTCTATATGAGATCCTAAGGTATGTTATCTTTCTTTTATGTAGTACTCTGGGTTCTTTTTCAAATTCTTTAAACAATCTAAACACGGAAAATCTATAGTCCAACCATGAGCCTCTATATGAGATCCTAAAGTAGGTTATCTTTCTTTTTATGTAGTACTCTGGGTTCTTTTTCAAATTCTTTAAACAATCTAAACTTGGAAACTTTGTACTCTAATTCACAACCTCTGTCAAATGGTTGTTATTTCATTCAAACCAGAGTATATACACTTGTTAAATTTCTTCTTCATGTTCTGTTTAAAATATATTATTTTTAAAAGGAAGGCGTACAGTTCTTATTTATTAAATATTTTAATTAACTGTCATTTAACTAAGCGTCACCGCCTGTTCTTTTAATTTTTCAAATCCGGGAGGCGCCATTTGCAGTTGGCAGGCCACGTGGCAACTCCCCACAGGTGGTACGAAAACCGCTTCAGTTATCTGACGTTTGGGGGGCGCATTTTACTCGAGTGCTTTAATTTTTTTTTCTATTTAAACAAATCATTTTCCGCTAGATTTTTTTTACGCTTTCAAAGTATTTAGGAACTCGTCGTCTTCAAGCTCTCAAAAACCGCCATTGAAATTTCTTCAAATTCTCAAACCATTTTCTGGAACTGCAATCTGTGGTGGAATCTTCATCTTCGTTCGTCAAGTATGTCAATCAAACCTTTTTCTTCAACCTAGTTAAAGAATCAAGAACCGATTCTTTACAAACCCTAACTTTTTAAAACCCTCTCTTCAAAAACCTGCAACTATGTCTTCTTCAGAATCAGGAAACTCTCAAACCCACACTACTACCCTCAAGACTGTGGAGGAATCGAGCCAAAATATGGTTCCTCTTCCACTCAAACCCAACAACCATGCCCTTCAACTCTCACTAGACAGCTTTGACCAAAAGTTTCATCTTGTTATCGATATTCTCCAACACCATTTCTTGAACCCTGCCCTGACGAACACTGATGATCTTGTTCCTGAAAGATTCATCCAAGAATTCTGGCAAACTTGCTCAGTTACTGACTCCCAACGAGGGATTGTTGGAGATTTTTATGTGCCATCTACAAAGGAATTCATCAATGTCCGCATTTCAAG